GTCATTATAGTTAATTTAAGAGTTATAGTATTAAACACAAATATAATATTCTGCAGCGTCTATGGCTTGTACGATAAGAGTTGACACGTCAATATTAATACATACAAGCATACGAAAAAGTGTGTAGTTTTATAGGTAATGAACACGGTAGCGACACAAAGATGAAACGAAATGATGCAACAAGTTGGAGTGCAACATTAAGTAAAAACCTAATTAAAACGACTTTAAGAGAAACGATCAAGTCAGATTACGTTATTCTAGGTTCCATAACTGTTGAAGCACGAACAGGTAAATGTGACTAGCGTAACCCACGTTAGAAGAATTGAAAAGTGATTATATTAATTAATTGGGATTATTGTGAATATTATATTGACCTCAATGGGGTACATGCAGTACGAAATGGCCTGCACAAATAGGCTTAGGTAGGTAGGAATATTTTGTCCGTTATGCTTTTTCAAAGGATTAGTGGGTTTTGGAATTAAGTGTGCATGTTCATCTATAACGAGGCAAAATGAAGAGCACTTTTGTACCTTAATTAATTCTTTCATACTTCCTACACACACAAAGAAAGTTGCATTATTTTGTGCGGCTGATGTAGCTTCAGTGCTTCCACTTCCACATTTGAATTGATTGGAATCCAATTTTGCGGATGCCAAGCGACCAATAGTACATGGAATAAAAATAAATACCTAGCATTCTAGCTACACTACTTTTTTTTGTGGCTTTTTTATATGTCTTGATTTTTAACCCATAGTGCTTTTTTTTTTTTGGGGTGTTTGGGGGAATTTGAGAGGCAAGCACCCACTAATAGCACAGCCTAAAACTATGAGTGGGAACGAACCCTTACATTCTGCTCGCAGGGGAATTTTTATATCACTATACTATAAGGCCATTAACACTACTGAATCCTAACCTTCTAATCTTGCTTAATTCATTTAAGGAAGGCTGAATGTTTAGTGTTTCATATATACCGCTTTTATTAAAAAAAATTGCTGATTGTGTCAATGTATTATTTTAATACTTCTCCGGTCCTAAATATAAGACCCTTTTTGTAGTATAATTTACACTATAAAAATAGTCATATATTTAGAATCAGAGGGGTAACAGTTTTACCATTCTTGTTGATAATTAATGTGCCTCTGGAAGAAAACGGAGGAAAGAAACAGAAAAATTGAAGAGGAAACTAGGCTACATTCTTTTGTTAAAAACCAAAAAAAGCAAACGAGGCTCTATTTTATGGGCCTTCTGTGCTCTAGTCAAGGCCCAACACATCCATTTTATGGGCTTTAAAGTAGCTTTATTAAGCCCAACAAGGAAAAAGACGACTAGGCAACTTGGCAACCCATTTCCAAGCTGAAATAAAAGCCGTCGACACTAGCTAATTAATGTGTGTGTGTGTGTGTGTGTGTGTGTGTGTGTGAGATACGACGTATGTTATATGTGCATGGTGATGGTATAAAATAATATTTGAAAAATAGAAATTTCACGTCATTATATTTAATTTAAGAGTTATAGTATTAAACACAAATATAATAATCCTCCGGTCCTTAATATAGGACCCAATTGTTAAGTTGGTTTTGGTCCTAAATATAAGATCCATTTATCATATTTATCAATTTTCTCCAAATTACCCATATGGATACTCCCTCAACCATAATCAAATAGAAGAAGGAGAGGAGGTATTAAAAAAGATGATTATGGTGTTTTAGGAAAAACATGTCACATTTCTTATAATTAACTAACTTACCTAACTTCCTTAATTTAATCAAATTAGTTAAATAAGTCTTATATTAAAGATCGGAAGAGTATTCTGCAGCGTCTATGGCTTGTACGATAAGAGTTAACACGTCAATATTAATACATACAAGCATACGAAAAAGTGTGTAGTTTTATAGGTAACGAACACGGTAGCGACGCAAAGATGAAACTAAATGATGCAACAAGTTGGAGTGCAACATTAAGTAAAAACCTAATTAAAACGACTTTAAGAGAAACGATCAAGTTATCGATTATGTTATATTGTAGGTTTCATAACTGTTGAAGCACGAAGAGGTAATTCTGACCAGCGTAGCCCACGTTAGAAGAATTAAAAAGTGATTATACTACTTCCGACCCTTAATATAAGATCCTGTTTAACTTTTATTTTGATCCTAAATATAAGATCCTAATCCACTTTATCTCTTATATTTATACATTTTTTTTCCAAAGTAACTTTTTTAACAATGATAGTTATAGTGAATACATTTGATTAGCAAGAATATTTTAGGAAAGACAACATCTATTTAGGATAAATAACTAACTCAACTTACTTTCTTAATCTCCTAAAATTAATCAGCTGGCTCTTATAATTAAGACAGGTAGTATTAATTAATTGGGATTATTGTGAATAATATATTGATCTTAATGGGGTACATGCTGTACGAAATGGCCTGCACAAATAGGTTTAGGCAGGTAGGGATATTTTGTCCATTATGCTTTTTCAACGGATTAGTGGGTTTTTTGGAATTAAGTGTGCATGTTCATCTACAACGAGGCAAGATGAGGCGCACTTTTGTACCTTAATTAATCTTTTCATGCTTCTGTATACCCCAAAATAAAAAAAAATTGCGTTATTTTGTGTGGCTGATGTAGCTTCAGTTCTTCCACTTTTCACATATGAATTGATTGGAATCCAATTTTGTGGACGCCAGACAACCAATAGTACATGGAATAAAAATAAATACCAAGCATTCTAGCCACACTACTTTTTTTTTTTTTGGATTTTCTATATGTCTTGACTTTTAATCCATGGTGCTTTTTTTTTGGGGGAGGGGTGTATGAGAGGCAAGCACGCATTAATAGCGCGGCCTAAAACTATGAGCGGAAAAGAACCCTTGCTTCCTACTCGCAGGAGAATTTTTATATCACTGCACTATAAGGCCATTAACACCACTGAGCCCTAAATTTTTAATCTTGCTTAATTCATTTAAGGAAGGTTGAATGTTTAGTGTTTCATATATACAGCTTTTATCAACAAAATAATTGCTGATTGTGTCAATGTACTACTTCCGGTCCTAATTATAAGAGTTAGTTGATTAATTTGAGGAGATTAAAAAATTAGGTTGAGTTAATTATTTGTAATAAATAGGTATTATCTTTCTTAAAATATTTTTGCTAATCAAGTGCATTGGTTATAACTACTATTGTTAGAAGAATTACTTTTAAAAAAAACGTATAAATATGAGAGACAAAGTGGATTGGGGTCTTACATTTAAGACCAAAATAAAAATTCAAATAAGGTTTTATATTAAGAAGCAGAGATAATATTATTTTAGTAACAGTTTTACTATTTTTGTTAATAATTAATGTCCCTTTGGGAGAAAACGCAGGAAAGAAAGAGAAAAATTGAAGAGGAAATGGGCTACATTTAAAAAAAAAACCCAAACACACTAGGCTCAATTTTATGGGCCTGGTGTGCTCTAGTCGAGGCCCAACACATCCATTTTATGGGCTTTAAAGTATTTCGCACAAGCACTGTAAAAACCAGGCTATACACGAGGAGATGGGCTGGTGGAGAACTTTGTACGGGAAAAAAATGCTGGTGGAGAACTCGCTAGAAACATTCAGCAAAAATTATTAATCAATTATCAGTGGTTCTCATCACCAAGGTTCCCGAATGTTCGAAAAATAATAACTTTGGCCCAAAAGAAGAAAATATAAATGATAAAAATTCATTGGTTAGAATCTTGTTTTTGGGAAAAACATACGCACGTGTCGTATTTGAATCCCCTCTCATAAAAATTAAAATATATGGCATTTCGATTACTCAAGGTAAGCTTTTTATTTTTCCTACTAATTTAGAGGTTTATTAATGAGGTAATGTTTAGTTTTTCATTTAATAATTTCTCCTATATATATATATATTTTGTTTTACTTATTCCTTAAGTTTCTGAAAAGTGTAGAAAGAAAGCTTATATCACGTAAAGTTACCTTCATGTCGTTAAATGCTGACCTCACCTTTGTATTTGCCGGTCTTATTAATTGATGACCATGCATGGTGCTTCTCATACGAGACTTGCTCTAAAGTTGTGTCTTTATAGGTTTATAGAAGCCTGGCGTGAACCTACCTATCAAAATTAATGTGAAAATATATATATATTTCCATCCAAAGCATGTGATCCTGACGTGGAAAATATTCTCAAAAGACTAAAGAAGATGCCGTGCACGCACACAAACACGTACACCAGAAGGAATCTACAGATATATTGATTGGTATATATTAATAAACGTACAAATCTTGGCTAAGAAATCAGCCTTTCCACACAACAATATAATATTCTGCCACAAGTTTCATTTATAATGCCACTAACTTTGTGTGCGTGTGAGTTTTCGCTGTGGCAATGTATAGATCCCCACTAACCCATCAAACCCAAATGCCTTTTTAAAAGAATAAAAGCAAAAGTCGTGAGCAGAAAGAAAAGAAAAGACAAGGGAAAGACAGAGGGCATCAATGAATGAACCATCCTTTGCCATTAAGTTGAAGCTTTACGATCAATAAAGTCTGTATGTAAGTGAAAGGGAAATAAATTAAAGAATGTTATTAATTAGTTATACATATTGGGTGTCCCTATATCAAAACAGTTTGCTTCCCAAAATTGTTTGAGCACTATGCATGGAGTGTCTCTCACTCTTTCTACAGCCTTCTCCTATTGAGTTCCATTAATGCTTTTAAAACTTTCCATTTTGAATCTACACACACATCTTTATATTTATAAATTAACTATAAAATCAATATAAAATATAACATTCCTTAAAAGTCACAAATTACACTAAACTAGCGCGACTTATTCTTTAAATATTTTAAAGATTATGGAGTTCAGAAAGATGAATAAACGGTCAATAAAATAATAATAATGTTTTTCTTGTTAAACATTCGGGATTGATGGTTCCCGGCAAGATTCAACGTCCATTCGTGAGGAATGCCATATATAGCGCCAGAGCAGAGGGCCACATACAACGATGCGTTCACCTTTCAATAAGCCTGCACGCCAACGGTGTCTTCGGACGTCTTCGCATTTTCTCGCTAGTCGTCGTCACCCATTTTTCTGATTCTTTCCGAACCCCTTATAGAATCACTAATATAGAAGCATCCTATCTTTCCTTAAAACTTCCTTGATCCCATACCCTTCTGCGAAAACCGCTTGCCCACGTCTTAAAAGAGCAAACTTTTTTCATCCTGCTCTGGAGGGTCCGTCTCTCGTCCTTTTTGCTTGACGAGTTACACCAAATTACATAGCCCGGATGGAACAGAAGAGCGTTTTGTTCTCGGCATTGAGTGTGGGGGTTGGTTTAGGTGTGGGGATCGGGCTGAGCCAGGGTCAAGCCGTGCAGAAATGGGTTGGCGGGAATCGTGAGTCTCGAGAGCTTACTGGGGAGCTGATTGAGAAGGAGCTCAAGAGGCAGGTGGTTGATGGAAGGAGCGGCAATGTCACATTCGATGATTTTCCTTATTTCTTGAGGTAATGTTAAGGTTTCCTGTATTCTTGCACGCCATTTTGCAGAGACAAAATGTCTGCAAGCTGTGGTAACATTTAGTGTCTGTCAATTTGGTAAAATGAGGTAGCATTTCTCTTGATCAGTTTGACTTCAATTTATTTGGTGAGGAGATTTAGTTTTGAAGGAAGTTGACTTTAACACTTTATCAGTTGAGTATTTGCTTTTATTAAAATAATGAGCATAGTGGACATTGTGGTTCAAAGACTTCGTAGATGAGGATATGTTTCAGGTTGACTTGTAAATGTAAGGCATTTTGATGCTAACCTTATCTTCTGGTACGAATAAAGTTGACATCCTGAATGGGCCTATGGTGCTTCTAAGCTTGGTTTTCCTCATACTCCTTAAGTTTTATCTCGGATTGTTCATTATTGAGTTCATCTATGCTCTCATGTGAACCCCAAGGTTTTCTTTAGATTTTTTGTTGGCGTAGTGATGTTGCTATTTCAAGTAACATGTTCTTCCTGTTTTTGGCTACTATATCTAATAAACATGAACTGTCTTTTGTTTCTTACTCTTGTAAGTTCCAAGGATTGCATAGATCTCTAAGTTACTGCTAATCGTGTTTTTATATATGGCATAAGCATGCCTTTCGTATTGGTTAATGAAATATGACCTATCTTTAGCATAGATCTCATCTGTGCGTATATGTGAACTATCGTCCATTCAAGATGAAACTGATCTAGCCTTCAACGATTTTTCTATGCTCAATATCTTAACTTCTTGCTTTCATTTTAAGGAGTAAAAAGGATACGGACATTATGAACAAGTATTTGATGACTACACTTTATCTTATTGTCACATATGATGATGTGATGGCAGTGAAAGAACTCGCGTGTTGCTGACAAGTGCTGCATATGTTCATTTAAAACAATATCACTTCTCCAAACACACCCGAAACCTTACACCCGCAAGCCAGGCTATATTACTTTCTGGACCTGCAGGTATATAGTGTACAAGTTTTGTCCGGTGATCCACGCATGTCCATTTGCTTCCTACTAACTGTAATTCCAACTTCTTCAGAATTGTACCAACAGATGCTTGCCAAAGCTTTAGCACATTACTTTGAATCAAAGTTGCTTTTGCTTGATGTTGCTGACTTCTCTAGGATGGTAATTACTTATTGGACTTCCTGCTTGTTTAACATGTATGATATGTGCATATATTCATATCTGTCGTGTTTTACCTTCTACAGGTGCAGAACAGATATGGATGTGCAAAGAGGGAATCAGTAAGTTTAGTCTGCTTTGCACTCTTTTTGGCCGTAGTCGGTTCTTTAAGACCTGAAGATACTTTTCTGTTTATTTCATGCCTTTTCACCTTGAACGTTCATTTTTAATGTATAAATTTCACACCTTTTCACCTTGAATGAATATTTCTAATATATAAACTGGACGAGACATTGGCATAACTGTTAAATGGATGGAGTGCTTTTTTGTGTTCTACTCGACTATGCTAAAGTAAATTGGATTTTATTTGTTAAATCCTGAGAAGGACAATGCTTTATTTTTTTTTTCCCCTTTTAAAATGAAAACAATGCTTCATTTGATTGTTAGTTCACAGAGAGATTTTCCTAACATACTTTCTTCTTTAGTCTTTGAAAAGGTCCCTATCCGAGTTGACTCTGGAAAAAGTGTCCAGTTTGTTTGGTTCCTTGCCAATCACTTCGCCCAGTGACACTAGAGGTACTGAAAGAATTTTTGGCAATCCTTTTAAATTTATGATACTTCATTTCTGTTCTTTTTTTTTTTTAATCGCAAATTACTTTAAATTATAGAGCTTAGTAATCTATGATTTGTAATGGGCATAGTTGTAAATTCTTAACATTTAAGTCAGTGATAGGAATCATGTCATTGCAAAAGGTCAGGACTCCGTTTATAATTTCTTTAATCTTTCAATGAACTGATGTTTTCCAGTTCTCGACCTTTATCTGGGCGCTGCTAGTTTGATTTGCATAATCATTACTCCGATAAATCTTGATTGGCAATTTTCATGCAGGAAATTCACGCCGACAGATTAAAGGTAACGAAGCTTCTGATAATCCTCCGAGACACCGTAGGAATGCTTCTGTTGCAGCTGATATGAATAGCATTTCTTCCTATCCTGCATCAACAACTTCAGGTTATGATGGGACGTATTTTTGTTTCTCTGTCTTCCTTTCTGCTCTAGCTGTTTTTCCCAACTTTGAACATTATTATTGTATATGTCAATTTTCTCCCTCTATCTATGCTTAATGCATGAGATTTCTTCTTTCAGGTCCCCAGAAGCGTCCAAGCAGTATATGCCTAGATGAAAAAATGTTTCTGCATTCACTCTATAAGGTGACATCATCTTTGAAATTTTGCTATTTTAAATAGAAATGCTGCAAGACAATAATAATCTATTACCCTTACAGTGTCTAAGCATAAATATTTCTCACTTTCCAAGAGGGCAAAAAAAGTCCTAACAAGAATTAATAATGATTGCAGGTCTTGGTTTCTGTCTCGGAAACCAGTCCCATAATCCTATATATCAGGAATGCTGAGAATCTTTTTCTTAATTCACCCGCGTTATACAGTTTGTTCCAAAGAATGTTAAAGAAAATTTCAGGGTCAGTGTTGATACTTGGCTCCAAGATATTAGATTCAGAAGATGATTACAGAGAAGTTGATGAGAAGCTCACCGTGTTATTTCCTTACACCATTGAGATCAAATCGCCTGAAGATGAGGCCAACCCTGGCAGCTGGAAAGCCAAGCTGGAAGAGGACATGAAAGTACTTCAGTTTCAAGATAGCAGAAACCACATTGCTGAAGTACTTGCTGAAAATGATATTGAATGTGATGATTTGAACAGTATCTGTCATTCAGACACAATGCTTCTCAGTCAATACATTGAAGAGATTGTGGTATCTTCAATATCTCACCATTTGATGAATAACAAACATCCAGAATACCGAAATGGGAAGTTAATCATGTCAGCCAAGAGGTAAAGATCTGGACGAATGCTTTTTAGCAATCGATTAAGAAAAGTGGGTTTCTAATACTGGCGTTTGATGTGGACAGTTTGTCCCATGGACTGAGCCTGTTCCAGGAAGGAAAAACTAGTGGGAGTGGTAATCTGGAATTGGAAAATAATGTACCTAGGAAGGTTCGTTTACAAAAAAAACTCAAGTGAATGAAAGTTTTGTTATAATACCAAATTGACAAAATTTCATTCATTGGTGTGGCCTTTAATTGTAGGACGCTGCTGGAGAAGGCATTGCTGGTGCAAGGAATGATGTACGTGCTAATGCCCCAGTACCTCAAAAGAAAAGTGAAACAGTAAAATCTGTCCCTGTGACCAAAAAGGATGGAGAGAACACTGCTCCTGTCCCTGTGAAAGCGGTAAGATCAATGTCTCAATAGTTAACCTCAAGTATCAACACACACTTACACACAAGAGATGAATATTAAGAGGCAGTACAATGTTATCTGTTATTTTGGACCCTACTCGCAAGAAACCCTGTGAACTCCATTTAATAATAAAAGAAAGCAACAATGAACTCCCTTGATATCCTGATGTTCTTACGGAGGCTAACTTCATGCACCTTATTTTCTTAAGCACTAGATCCGTTCATCTAAAATCAATCAGGTCTTGCTTGTTCGCGTATTTTCATCCTAAGACAATATGATAGTTGTGAATATTAAGGGTACTTTTGATTGTTAGGTTAACCTAGCATCACGGTCCCTGAGTTAACAAGCATGGCACTCCAAGCACTAGACGCTACCTGATATTATGGCCATCTTCTTCTTCTTCTTCTTTTCAATTTTATATAATTTCACAGGTTTAATTGCATGCTTGCAGGAAGTTCCTGACAATGAGTTTGAGAAGCGGATAAGGCCTGAAGTTATCCCTGCAAATGAGATAGGGGTTACATTTGCAGACATAGGTGCATTAGATGAAATTAAGGAATCACTTCAAGAGATGGTCATGCTTCCCCTTCGTAGACCAGACCTCTTCAAAGGTGGCCTTCTTAAGCCATGCAGAGGCATATTGCTTTTCGGGCCTCCTGGTACTGGGAAAACTATGATGGCAAAGGCGATTGCAAATGAAGCAGGAGCAAGCTTCATCAATGTCTCGATGTCCACGATTACTTCAAAGTGGTTTGGGGAAGATGAGAAGAATGTCCGAGCTTTGTTCACACTTGCAGCAAAGGTTGCCCCTACAATAATCTTTGTTGATGAAGTTGACAGTATGCTAGGACAGAGAACAAGAAATGGAGAACATGAGGCCATGAGGAAGATAAAAAATGAGTTCATGACCCATTGGGATGGCCTATTGACCAAACCAGGTGAGCAGATTCTGGTACTAGCTGCAACCAACCGGCCATTTGACCTTGACGAAGCAATCATAAGACGGTTTGAGCGCAGGTAAGACCCTAACATTGGCATGGCCATTTGATTCTGTTGGGTTACAATAATTTTGTCAGGAGACCAAACAAGTGCATTTTTTTTCCCCTTTTAGCGATTGGTTATGAACAGTCGGGTGCTCAAAAAGCTAGTCTGTAATTACTAACTAGGACTTGAGTTGTCGCAAGATAAGGATAAAAATATGGAATGATTTTTCTGGTGTAGACTTTGCCTATCACGTAATTCATGGACTATACAGATTATTATTATTATTATTATTGGGATTGAGAAATCAATTGCTAACTGGGCAATAGTAACATCATTAACTATACAGATTCATCGAAACTTTTCTTCTTTTTTTTGGGGGGGGAAAAAAAGTCATTAGCATTATCAGTGAACAATTTCACTTTCATAGATGGACTATTTTTATTGTGAATGACAATGCTTCACCTTTTAATGCTGAGCAGAATCATGGTGGGTCTTCCATCTGCTGAAAGCAGGGAACAGATCTTGAAAACCCTGCTATCTAAAGAAAAACATGAAAACATGGACTTCAAAGAGCTTTCTGCTATCACAAAAGGATACAGTGGAAGTGATCTCAAGGTTTTCGTTTTCCTTTCTTTCATTACTTATTAGTGATTCTAATATACTAATTCCAGTACGCAATCATCATCTTCTAATATTAATTTCTACGAAAACAGAACTTGTGCATGACAGCTGCATATCGACCTGTCAGGGAGCTCATGCAGAAGGAAATGTTGAAGGAAAAGGTAGTATTAAACGACTTCTGCAATACTAACTTCGTTCTAATTAGTGCAGAATGTTGGTATCGGAGCCGTAGAGATACTAATACCTAGTTCATTTTATTTAGGAAAAGAAGAAAAGGGAGGTAGAAGCCAAAACCTCAGAAGATGCTACAGGTATTAAAGAAACCGAAAAAGATGAAGCGATTACCCTGAGGCCTTTAAACATGGAAGACATGAAATATGCGAAGTCTCAGGTAGGCTTATTTGAAAATTCTTCACGTAAATGGCTATGCTATGTAGTGATTGTTTTGAATGTTTGTTTCCTATCGAATAGCAATATAGTATATAGTGTCTTTCCGTACATCGTAAAGGAATTCAAAAATAGGATTCCAGGGAATTGGACGTTAGATATCTGACATTTGCCTAAAAATGATATATTAGGGAGATGATATTTAGTAGCTTAGTTTAGCAGCGGGTAGCAAATGATGTGATTTTAGGAGTTCGAAATGCCTACTGCACAAGTTGGTAATATGCCTCTGCTACATCGTATAGTACCTTGCCTGGAAAATGAGCTAGTACATGCGTTAGCTTGTTTTCAGGTTCTGCAATTACTCATTTTTCATGGAAGTGTTAGTGCTTTAGTACAGCAGGCTTGTATTACCAGCTTTGCAGCAAATATTCTGGACGTGTCATGTGAATAATCAAAGGTTCATCTTTCAATTCTTTCTATAGATTTCAACTTTCCCTGGAGGGCATATATAAGGTCCATAAATCTCATATTCAGGATCCGATACTTAAGATGTGGGAGCTCAACTTACCATATGTCGTTATTGGGTCATAACATTCCATAAGTACCTTTTAGAGGTGCATATAAGAGATGAAACTTGGGTCCCTGGTAATAGCGTCATAACAATAGTGCACAAGAGAAGCAATCCACTCTCTTTTAGCCTCAAGGGTCAAGATACTAACATATACCGAGTCAATTCAGAAACAGTTGAGGTGCCTTTAAAGTAATTACAGAAGAAGATGCACTCAAATCTTCGCTTAATTACTCGACCATGTCACAAACATGAAAGATTAAAAAAGCCTTGTATGTATGCAAGTCCAATGACTTCATATAGAAATAATGAATGTTCTTCCTTTATGTAGATCGCTGCAAGTTTTGCTGCTGAAGGGTCAATAATGAGCAAGCTGAAGCAGTGGAATGATTTGTATGGAGAAGGAGGTTCAAGGAAGAAAGAGCAGCTTTCGTACTTCCTCTAGATTGTAGGAAAGGCTGATAAAATTATGTAACTTGTCAGCCTTCTAAGAAATAGGAAGAACAGGACAAGCAGCCCTTCATATCATAAGAGCTTAAATCCAGGGACATATATTTTCTAAGGGATGCATAGTTTTGAATTATATACAAAGCAATGACTAGCGGTATTGGGGAATTTGTGTATAATGTATTGTGATTAGCGTACATGTCAACTTGAACTCTAGAAATTCAATTATATTTGTCATTGGTGGTTCTACAAGGTGCATTGGCTTTTTTTCGTGGAAGTAGGAGTTTTTTTTTGGTATCAAATCTTTTTGGTGTGATGTAATTATACATGAACAGCATCCTCAAACAACAAAATTTTGTACATTGGATTGGTAGGTGCGCTGCTTGTAGACCCTGCTTCAAATTATTTTAGGTATCTTGCGCATACAGCCATTTTAATTTCCTAGAAAACCAATGTTTAAAAAAGGAAAAAAGAAAAAAAAAAGAAGGGAGAAGCAGAGGCAATTTGAGTGAATATAGTTCCGTTGAAGCAGTATAATTAGTGTTAAAAAATAGACAAGGAAAAGAGGCAACTGTAGCTTAATTCCAATAATTGAGGTAAAGAAAACTCCAAAATCACTGTCACCAAGAACGTGTGTGATAGGCAGCAAGTTCAAAATCAATATCCATATTAATCAATATAAAATATTAAATTTACAGTTAGTCTCCCTATTTGCAGACCATTAACTATATATGGCTCATTTCTCACGCTCTTCGCAATTTATGTGGACTCACCTAATTAAATGTCAATAGGGATATCCATGACATAAACTTGATTATCTAACAAGTTAACACCCCTACCAATTGAGTAAATATAACACAAAAGCATGGATTGGATGCAAAGCGCAAGATCAGCTAATATTAACCATTGCCTTCGGAAAAACACTACCCACTCCAATCTTTGTATATGTTACTCGATTTGTTTTAGAACAAAGGAGGCTAGTCTAACCTAAATCCCAACAAGGCAGATAAAGGAAACCTCATAAATATCATCAATAAACATGTATTGGCAACGAGAGAGAGGCCTACAAGTAGTGAATGTCAATATTAACAAACCTAAGAGGGATATGACGATAAGCTTAACAACTGATAAATTTGTGATGGAGAGGAGAAGGTGAGAGTTGAAGTAGCATTAATCAATTTTGGAGCAGCAACAGAAGTAATTTTCAGGAGGGACGCATTGGCCACTTGGATAGCCATGTTGTTTGCAGTAAGCACCACAGTTTGGAAACTTGGAACATGTTCCTGGACATTGTGCGCTCATACCAAACGACAACAGGAGCATCACCACCATAGCTGCCAGCATAAATTTCTTTGAGAAAAGAGGAAGCCCCATTGTGGAATCTCTTTATGTCTCCATCGATGCTCGTCTTTGAAGCTCTTCCCAACCAACCTTCTTCGTCCTCCTCCATTCAAAACTCCGTCGCCTTCAACTCAACCGACTGGTTAAGTTTTGATTCAGGGCTGGATCCACATCAGAAGTGGGCCACCCAATAAGAGTGTTAGCCCAAACAGAAAATAAATGTTCGGCCTGGCCCCGTCGTTTTTCCCAGGCACCGTTTTCCTCTTCTTGCAGCCCGTACCCAGGGCATGCATGTCCTCGTAGCTTCGAGGGGCTTGTCCCCATCTGGTTCCTCACCGTCGTTGGTCGAGCTTCTTGGAGGGTAAGAATCGAGATACCATTCTTCAGTTTTTGGACTGTGCATGTTTTGTTTTCCTATGCGATTTGCAATATAATGTAACGTCGAAACTGTTTATTAACACCTACAGAACGAAGGATTAAATATTTGGATAGATGATTTTGGGTTGTGCAGTATTATGTGAGCGAGGCAGGAGGGTTCTATGAACATGAAAACAGAAGGTGATGCTGATGTGGCATATCCATGATTCTTTGATTTTATGAAGGTACGTTGGTGATCCTGCGATTCATAGAAGTGTCTCGCAGATCATGAATAAACAAGCGCGCATGCTCATGAATTTTAATTGAAACTGAACACCGTGCAGTAAGAAGAACAAACAAATTTTCGTTGGCTCAAAAAAGAAGAAAATTCACTTTTACAGAATCAGGTAGAATGGCTTCAGACTCTGTCAACCTTAGAAGTGAAAAACCAGCATGGAATGTAGTTTCCATGAGGACAAGACTCTCAGTATATAATTAACAGGGGGGACAAATGGAAATTGACCCACTTTTAATTGACAATAACCCAGTAAGGTGCCCAAAAAAAAAACGAGAGAATATGCCTCTTAATCCTTTTTCGATGATCCTGCAATAATGGGTATGTGGCTCAAAACCTTCTCATCAAAAACTGCATATTGTTTCTTCAATTCAGCTACAACAATCTCGCCATACAGATCAACCAACTCTTCATTTTTCTCATACAGCATTGGCACCGTGAACATGAACACTATGCCTGCATACGTCAAACCAAAATTTCTTTAACAATGATCCTTTAAGCTTCAATATAACCATTAGAATCACCATCTTCAATATGATTATGTACAATTTACTAAGTAAGTTGTGAATAATGCAGTCCCTTTCTGGGTTGTGCTCTGTCATTTTTTTTTTTTTGACAACTTCTAATTGGTATTTTAGAAAATAAGAGAAGGAAGATATTCTCACATAGATAAAACAAGGTAAGGAAACTGAACGAGCTCCCAATAATCGAGAGAAACCATAATGCAAGAATAACCTGGTAATCGGACAGGAAACACCTTAATTAGTCCAAATGGTTTTAAGTGCAATGACTGCAGATTTTCATACACAATTTGAGATGATTTGGAACAATCCAACGATCAAGAGAGGAAAAAAAAATACAGTACGGTAAATATTCAGAAGATTGGAGTCCCACCCCATTCTCACTTACAACTAGGGCATCTGAGCTGAGAATCCAAATTCTGCTAACCAATTAGCAACAATCATTTCACGAGAAGAGTAGAATGAACTTACGACAACAAACTTCTTCAGATCATTCCCAGATGTAACATCTCTCAAAAGATTACGGAGAGCGTCCAAGAACGCATTGATCTCGTTTCTAAGTGTAGAAACAACCTCAAGAACGCAATCTCTTGGAATTGTAACTTCTGGGATGTGAGGTGCAGACCTGTTTGAGAATTAAAATGTCAAGAACACATGAAATGTTTTTGTGCAGTGCAAAAAATGTAGCTACCTGAGGAAATAACGGTAGTTCTTAATCGCTTACTGTCATATTTTTCGAAAATTATACATGAACAAATGTATTTCAAGCAACAAACAATATAATATCTGAATTCAAAGTGACTTTGATGTAGTCTAAAGAATATGGATAAATGTGGCTTACTTGTGGATATACATGGATGCCTTGGTCCACAAGAAAAAGATCATTATTATGAGAATCAATGCATGGCAAGCCAGAGTGATGAAATGATATCCTAGCACTTCAAAGAAAAACCATAGCGCTGTAACAGCAGCAAACACCTTTCCTGATACATCTTTCTTCCTCCACAGCACAATTTCAGCAGCTGCAAGGGAAGATTAATCTTGTAAGACAACATGACTTTATGGTCCAGAAAACAACCAAGTACAAACCAAAAATGAATCATAATTAACAACTAACCCAAAACATAACAGTATATGAATAATAATGAGCATCACAGAGATACTTTAGAAACAGAGCCTTACGTTGTCTATCCAACCAGAACCCACCCTTCATATTTGGCTGTATCGTGATGTTTATGTTGGTACGAGTCTCTCAGTTACGAAATGATGACGATTAATTACATCAGAACAAAATAAGAATTATATTCCTTGTAATTTCACTTGAATCACGTCTCTCCAATCATCTGGAACATTGCCTTAATTAACTATCATCCAAATCCGGAACAACTTATCTAATGTGATCATAGTGGTAGAATTGCTTGGAGAATTAGAAGGGGAAGTCACATATTAATAAATAATAATATCACTTCGCATGATCTGATAATTAGAAGCCAGTGGGAAGGCGAAAGAAATCATATATACAGAGCCAAATCAATCGTTTAATCAATGGCAAAAATGGAAAGAAGAAACAAGAAAGGATATATAAGCTGTTCAAATTCGGTGCCTGGTGCTATGATCTCAAACTGTAGATGTCAAATTGCGGAAAACATCAAATAAAAAAACAATATTTCTGACTAACTGTCAAATGCGATTATATTTAACGATAGAACATCTTATATTCTATAGATCATAAACAACACGAATTATAAGATTATCACTCGCATAGATTTTCCCCTCAACCAAAAGAACGTGAACCAATGGATCAGTATCGTCGCGTCATTGTTCGAGAACCGTAAAAAAAGATGCAGAAAGATTAAGAAAGACGAAAGGATGGGGAAACAGAAACTATACCTTTTCCTCCGCCCAAGACCATGTGGAGAGGCCTCTCCGACCGAAGAGCCTACGAACACTTTTGGAGGAGCGGAGATTAGCGGCTTCGAATCCATCGGAATCCTCAGAAGATGAATTAGAGTCGTCGCTATCACGATGAACCTTCTTCTCCGACTTCTCTTCATGCTCCGCCATGCTTCTCTCTGCCTTGAGAACAAGACACAATGAAATGGAAAAAAAACGATGAGTAATTTGATGAAAGATTTTCTTGATAAAAGTTTTTCATTCATATATACGCACGCACGTGTGTGTGTATGCATGCATGCACACATGTGCGTGTATGTATACATATATATACATACACATTTATATGATTGTGAAAATATATAACATCATAATTAGGCAGCGAGCCAAAAAATTGATAATTAGGTAAAAGAAGTTACTTTGAAAAAAGAAAATATAAATAAAACGAATGGGAAGGAAAATTTTTAACAAAAAAATTTTGGGAAAAAAGCCAACGACAGAACTTCAAAATACTTAAATTAAATATATTATTTAATTATTTAATATAATATAGATAATTGTGTCATTCTCATTCATCGTGACACAATGTGTTTATATCTTTCTGTTTTCACGAGTAATATCTCATGATTTAATATATTTTTTTATGATTCTTAATGTAGAAAGTTAGTTGGAATTATATTTAGTTCTAAATATAAGAATTTAATTTAATTTATTTTTATACTTTTTTTCTCAAACTAAATTGCTATATACGAATGAATTTTTAAGAAAATCATGTTATATTGCTTATAATTAACTAATTTATTTCATTTCATTGATAATTATAAATTAACAAGTAATTTTTATATCAAGAAGGGGAGATGGTAGTATTTAATACTACCTTTGGTCTTTAATATAAGGAATCATTTGACTTTTATTTTGGTTTTTAATATAAAACTTCATTCCATTTTATTTCTCATATTTATCTATTCTTTTCAAGACAGTTCTTGTAATAATGATAGTTCTAATCAATGCACTTGATTAGCAAAAATATTTTAAAAAAATAATATATATTTATTATAAATAATTAACATAACTAATTTTATTAATTTATTCAAATTAGTTAACTAGCTCTTATATTAAAGACCGGAAGTAGTATTGCATGAGTATTGTCATCGCTTATTCATACGCATCTGACTGGTCTGGAATATTGCTTGATCATGGTCTGTTTTTGAATGTCCGTTTTTGTTGAGAGAAAAACTATCAATTGAAGATCACATCAACAATTATGTGGTATTTTTCCCCAGTAGAGGAGACAAGGCGGGAGAATTCAATTCAGGTTCTCTAAATTTGTTTTGATACATGGGAATGTATGATATTATAAATATATATTAAATGCTAATTACATTGGCTTGATTACATACTCGGCATGATTCAACCATTTAAAAAAAAAAGCATTAAACTGAAATTAAATTAATTCTGTTTTCCTATTCTGATTTGTAGAAAAGCATTGTAATTCACATACTTTTTTGTTTATTTTGTTTGCCTTAAGAGGAAGTAGGATCAGAACAAAATTTATGCAGCTTGTATAAATTCTGGAATTCTTTTGGCTTTTTGACATTGCAATATATTTGTTTATTTTTATTTTTCCCTTTGAAACCCCAAAAACATTTGATTTCTTTTTCTAGACGAACACACGCTAATAAATTGTAAAAAATATCTTGATGACATATAAAAAATGTTTACATAAAAAATTAATTTAATATTATTTTCTTATAAAAGTGATTCTTGTTAAAAAGTTTCTAGGGGGTGAGAGTCAAAGTCAAAGTCAACAAATTACAATATTACAAAAAGAACTATTCTAGTGGGCGTGGATCCTATTCCTAACAACTCAATAATATATTAACACCACTTATTTGTTACTACCTACCGTGTTTAATATAAAAATTTGTTTAATTTTTATTTTAATTTTAAACGTAAGACTCAAATCTATTTCATCTATTATATTTATTCATTTAAATTTTTTGTAATAATAATAGTTTTAGCCATTACACTTGATTGGTAAGGATATTTCAGAAAAGACAATGCCTATTTATTATAAATAACTAACTTAATTAATTTTCTTAATTTACTCAAATTTATTAACTAACTCTTATATTAAGGATCAGAAATAGTTGTATCTTAATTCTTAATATAAGAGTTAATTTGATATTTGATTTGATCCTAAATATAAAATCTAATTTACTTTATCTCCCATATTTAGTCATATTTTTAAAGTAACTCTTGTAGTAGTTGTACATGTCAAAAATTTCATTAAATAGTGGTTCTAACTAATACATATATAATTAATAAGGATATTCTAGAAAAGACAATAACTAATTATTTTAAATAATTAACTTAACAAGTTTTTTTAATTTATTTAAATTAATTAATTAGTTTTTGTACCCAAAAAACGGAGGTAGTAATATAACCCACACGTGTTGTCCTTTAAACTTGGTCAAAAAGCTAAAGCTTCCATATTGGAGTGGGCATCTTTGACCTTACAGTATTTTATAGTTTCTGGGTTTCCACGAGAGACTGCCACAGAAAAAGAAGGCCAAGAACTACAGTACGCAGAATTTGACTTTGGAATTTCATTCGATCATATGATCGAACAAGTTCATGATGTTTCTGAGCATTGATGCGTGTCTCGGGGACATGAAGTATATAGTGACGACAGGGTCCGAGAACATAGGAAATTTTTAGAGGGTACTGTACTGTATTTCGTAGCCTGCATGCATGGCTAGTTATGAAGCTCTCTGAACTATTTGAAGAAGATTAAAAACCATATCAAGCCAGTCATTTTCTATTAGATGGGGTCGTTTCTTCTCTGCGCAATTCTATTGTTTGTAGTTGAGCGAAAGGTTTCTGGCATTACCGAAGGTGGGTGACTTATGTTTCCCATTGATGAGAACCAGGTTTCTTAATTATTTCAAGTATATTATTATATCAGGATACTAAGATCTGGAGGTTTAATTAATTGCATAACTGTATTTTGGGATTTATTCATGGTCATTAAAACTTACTTCTAAGGATAGTTTGAACCTGAAAATTGGTTCGATTTAAGACAGGTGAGGCCCTGATTGCATTGAAGAAGAACATGAACGATCCTAACGATGTTCTTAAAAACTGGGATTCTTCCATAGTGAATCCCTGCACCTGGTTTGGTGTTAAATGCAATGGTGAAAGCGTCACTCGTATGTAAGTTATATTTCCATGATTTTTCCTCTAGTTTACCTCCCCCCCCCCCCCCCCGGGGTGCACGTATAATGAAAAATTTGTGTTTTATTACAGCGATATTGGAAATGCCGGTCTTTCGGGCGAACTAGTTCCCGAGCTTGGTGAACTCAGAAATTTGCAGCAATTGTGAGTTGAGAATCAAACATGACACTAATCATACATCATATATATCCATGTTGTTTCTGTCATTTATTTTATATACATATAAATATATATATATATATATATCGATCTGAAGTTATTATGTATTCTTTAAATGACAGGGAAATTTATGGGAATAATATCAGAGGAAAAATCCCAAAAGAGCTGGGAAACTTGACAAGCTTGGTGACCTTGGATCTTTACTCGAACAGACTAAGTGGTCCGATTCCAGACACATTAGGCAAACTTAAGAACTTACAATTCCTGTAAGACATCTATTTCTTAATCCTCAAATCTTAAAACTTGAGAAACTATTGTATTTCATTGTTATATATTTTATCATATATACACAAGCTCGCATGAGTGCTATTTAGCAGAAAGGTAAACTTTCTTTATCTATTTTACGATTCCTTGCCAACGATATCTTGTATGTTTTCCAGTCCGCCAATATTTCATCATTCGCAAACCAGCTAATTCTCTCTGTTTTCTGGTATAGGCGTCTCAACGATAACAACTTATCAGGAAACATTCCTGTGTCTTTGACTGGTCTTAAATTACTGCAAGTTCTGTAAGTGCTACATTCATCTTTATTTATATTTTCCTGGAAAGCAGATATAGACACTAGGTGATGCTAGTATCATATATTTTTGCAAGAGTCTTTCAATGATCTGATATCATCATTGTGGGATCTAGTGATTTCTCGAGCAACGAGTTAAGTGGAGAAATACCAGTTGGCGGTTCATTATTATCATTTTATCCCTCCGGGTTGGTAAAAGAATGATTGTTTCATTTTGTTGCATTGATGTTGATGAGAAGTAGTAAGACCCCCAACGATTTTACTAACCACAGGTTTCCACTTTTCCAGTTTTTCAAATAATCGTGGACTAAGAGCACCGAAGGGACTACCTCTGACGCCAACATCTCTTTCAGGTTCATTTATGTCTTTTTTACTTTTCTAGTCTTGTTGATGAATTTTCCCCGGAAGTGCATGTTCCTGAATCCTGATACTTAAGTTCATACCTTTTGATGTGCGTCTTGCTTTAATCCGAGAAAAAGAGAGTTATCATAAATCACTCTGGAACTTATCTGAATATATTTAACTACTCATTAAATCGTTACCGATCTCTTGCAGGTAACAGTAATACTAGAGCAATTGCAGGAGGAGCTGCTGCTGGCGGTGCACTGTTATTTGTAACACTCGTTATTGTACTCGTATATTGCAGAAGAAGGAGATCACAAGAACATTTCTTTGATGTTGCTGGTTAGTTCAATATACATACCAATGATATCTACTGTTCTCTATTATTGATTAACTAACCTTATGTCTCTGTGTCTGTGATTGTGTTTAATTAATTACTGGAAGCTGAGGATCCTCCTGATGCAAATGATCATCACCATGGTCAACTTAAGCGGTTTTCTCTGCTTGAACTACTTGTAGCAACAGATAACTTTAGTAGCAGAAACATTCTGGGTGTAGGTGGTTTTGGAAGGGTTTATAAAGGACGCTTGGCTGATGGTTCTCTTGTAGCAGTAAAGAGACTTAAAGAGGAACGAACACATGGCGAAGACGTTCAATTTCAAACAGAAATGGAAATGATCAGCATGGCTGTGCATCGAAACTTGCTTCGCCTTCTTGGATTCTGCTCTACACCCACTGAACGCTTGCTTGTTTATCCTCTCATGGTTAATGGCAGCGTAGCATCATGCTTACGAGGTACGTACTTTGATATTATTTAATTACTTTATATGTTACCTGTTCTTTGTCCATTGATCCTCGAATGATCTATATATATATATATATATATATATCATTATAGGGCGTCCAGAATCACGACCTGCATTAGACTGGTTAACTCGGAAGCGTATAGCAGTAGGGGCTGCAAGGGGACTTGCGTATCTGCATGATCATTGTGAGCCAAAGATTATTCACAGAGATATTAAAGCAGCAAACATATTGCTGGACGAGGAATTTGAAGCAGTTGTGGGGGATTTTGGTTTAGCAAAACTCATGGATTACAAAGCCACTCATGTTACGACTGAAGTAAGAGGGACGATTGGGTATATAGCACCAGAATATCTCTCCACTGGACAGTCTTCAGAGAAGACTGATGTTTTTGGATATGGTGTTATGCTTCTTGAACTAATCACTGGACAGAAAGCTTTTGATCTCGCTCGACTTGCAATAGACAATGATCATATCATGTTGCTTGACTGGGTACTGCGCATAATTACCAGTTTTATTTACTGAAAACATATAATTAATACAATTAATAGTTAATCAATGGTATTGTATTTTTGATATATATACAGGTGAGAGAAGTGGTGAAAGAGAAGAAGTTGGGGACTCTAGTGGATGCTGATTTAAGGGGAATTTGTGACGAACAAGAAGTTGAAGAGGTAGTCAAAGTGTGTTTACTGTGCACACAGAACAACCCTTTGAGAAGGCCAAGGATGTCACAAGTGGTGAGAATGCTGGAAAGTGAGGGTATGCATGAAGACTGGGAACAATGGCAGATGGAGATGTCGTCGCAGCAACATAGTGTTGATTTTAATATGAGCCATCATCAGGTCAATGCTGATGAATGTACTTTAAGCTCAAGTTCATGTATAGTACCAGAAGAACTTTCAGGTCCACGATGATATATATACATACACTCCTTCCAATGTTAAATATAAGACTCATTTTGTAGTGTAAATTACATTACAAAATGGATCTTATATTTAGGATTGCAGGAGTATATAGATAACATAGCAAAATTGTCATTTAATTTGTTAGTGACATTAGAATAAAAACAAATTCATGAAGAATCTGATAAGCCACAGCATACTGGTTTACGATTTTATTTTGTTTGCTTATTTATTTATTTTGGAATTGATGACCAGACAAAGTCAATATAGGAGTAAACCAAAAAAAAAAGTAGATTTAAATTCATTTTTTATGAAGAAAAATCTTCTCATGGGTAACGATTCGAGGGTACTGATAATCCTTCTGTTACTAATTAGGTTATCAGCAGGGTGCTGATAATCGATCTGCGGATTTTTAATATTATTGATTATTCTTCTAAACACCATGGTCAGGTAGCGTTCATCGCTAACTAGTCAAATTAAATGCTTTCAATTTTCATAAAATGTGAAATTATCAATATTCTATCTAAAATATTATTTGTTCCAATAAAGGTCACGTAAATTACAAAATAACATGAAACTAATCACATAATAATAAATAACGTGGCCCTTTTTAAAGTCGTTCAATTAAGAGCTGGATCTCTCAATTATATTGTTTAATTTCAAATTTTTATATTTCAATCTAAACGAATAATTTTTAAATTCAATATGTCTATCATGTGTCCTATGTATTGTAAAAATAAAACAAATTCAATATTTAAATAGCCTTGAGTAACTGAGTTTACAGAAATTGTCAATGAACTTCAAATTTCCCAACGTGGAAGCGATCAGATGAAGGTCCCAGCCCTTGGTTAACGTTTTCATAGATATAGTTCTAGTGATTTCATTATCAAGCTCAGTAGCCCACGAAGAACAGGGAGGTATCATATTTTTTTCTGGCAAGACTCAGTTTCCAAATGAGAGATCAGGAAGACTGCTATTTTGTCTCAGTTATAAATCATCGATCTTGGACTCAAAACCAACTCCTTTTGAAAGCTAAGTATCGACCACACCTAAACTTGAACGTGTTTAGGGTTTAACCTGTTACGTCCTATGAATGAAGAGACCGATCATATATAAGCCATGATGTGTTTCCTTTTCACTTCTGAGACAATAAGAGAATCTTACGAAACAAACAATTCAAGATCAGGGCCACAAACAGATATATACATACATATGTATATATATTGGAGTTTATGAGAGCTGCATGCATAAGTCTAGAGCACAAGGTAGCATACAGATTATATTCTCTTTTCAAGTACACACACAATGCAGCTTTTGATGTATCATTTGCAGGCTCAGTACTCATCAGTTTCATGAGGACCATTGTATATATATAAGTGCACATGATGATTCTCTCTTCTTTCACTTTCCATTTTCTATGAGAATACCCTTTTTTCCCCTTTGCCCATTCATGCAAAAAGAACGTTTGGTTCCTTCTCTCGTAATTTGTTTTTCCTATCATCATCCATCTTTGTTTTAAAGTTTTCTTCTTTTTCCCTTTTCTGCTTTCTGCAAAGTAATAAGCATATGTTCGAGCTAAGGTTAAAGACATATATACTTCTCACATATATACATCTTTCCCCAACATCATTAATAATTCTAAAAATTATAATCAAGTAATTAGTGTTTATAGGGATAACTTTATCACTCGATTTTTTGATGTATATAACGGACAAATAATTTTGAAAGTACATTATACAGTTATATAGGCTTATATTTCAAAACATAGGTTAAAAAATAGATGTACTACGACAAAGATAAATAAATATTGTATATTTCTTTTCCAGTAAAAGGATTCCACTTATTTATTGTATATCATGCCAAAAAGCCCTTAAAAAATTAGTGGATGTTCATGGGTATAGTTGACTAAGTTGCCTTAATCAAGGGATTAAAATGATATAATGTTGTACTCAATCAATGAAACAAGGGAGGGTGTTAACTTTCCTAAAGACAAAATTGTTTGAAGAGAAGTCTTCATTTGAGCATAATTTAAGGTGCCGAGGTTAATTAATCATAAAGCTTTCATGATTTAATTAAAACTCCTTCATTTCTTGTGGGATAATCCAAATATTATTGAAGCTGATTGATTAACTAACAATTAATTCTTGTTCTAGGTCGTACATGTTGCAATATTCGCCTCTAGTTCCTTTTTCTTCTGACCTTTGAGAAAGCATTTTGTGGCCAAATTGCTTTAAAAAAAGGAATGGCCATTGAAGACTCAGCAAACCCACATTTACAAGTCAAAGCTTTTGTGGCAAAAAGACTCTCTTGACTCTTTCTCATCACTCAATGCAATTAAAGCATCCTAAACCCAAATCCACTTAAATCAAAATTTAACATTTATAGCAAATAAATATTCCGTGTTAATTATAAACATGATAAAATAATAGTAGTATAAATTATTTAGTATCCACTATTACCAATGAATTTGTTCAGTTATGTTAAAAAGAGGAAGTACACAAAAAATAAGGTTTTTTTTTTAATAACATGTCTAAAATTTTTATTATAGGATAGCATTTGTCTCAATCATAAAGGACAGAAGTGGAATATTGCATCACACTCTTTTCTTAATATACAATAGCGTGAGGGTAAGCAACTTTCAATATTAATTAATTTCTTTCAATCCTTTTCTTTTCAACAGGGAAAAATAATGTTTAATATTATAAAGAGACATGTGGACATAAGTATAGTAGGTTTTGTGCTAAAGATTTGTGATTTTTTTGAAAAAGAAAATTGAATTAAATGAATGGAGGTGAAAACCGGTAGACACACAAAGAGTGGGGGACCCAAAAGAGGAGGAAGAAGAAGAATGGTCCAAGCTATGGGCACAGTGCTTTTATTTAGTGAAAAAGAAGTCCCTAATTAAATTCTGACTCCCTGTAAAGAAAAGAAGTAAAGCCAAAAGCACTGTTGTGACCTCTTAGCCTCTTCGCCTTTTTTTTTTCTTTTTTTCCTTTTCCCTTTTTTGGAAGCTTCCCATCACCATCCCTTCTCTGTTCTCTCTAGCTCTAATCTCAACTCAAATTTTTTTTTTCTTGGGTGAAAATATGAACTCAATTTTTTTTAAAAAAAAAATTGCAACTAAGTAAGGATGGTAGTGCTTGTATATATAGGAGTATATTATGTGTTGTCTTGTTGAACTGCATTCTTAAATTTTGATGACGGAAAAGAAATTGAACTGTCATGTCAAACTAAAATACAACCACATTGCGGGGACAACATGTTTAACGTTAATTTCAGCTGATTTGTTCAAATAAATTGCAATCAACATCTTTTTAATTTCCATGCCTCTATCAGGCCAAACAAATTTCCATACCTCTAGAATTCTGCATTTGTTGTTGATGTCCTAAATCCTAAGAGTTAAACATTGCTACTGAAAAAATATGTTAACAACAAAATTTTACCAAAAATTACTTAAACATTGAATGCAACTTAAATCAAGATTTATATTGTCACCAAAAAAAGATAAATCAAGATTTATGACAGAGCTGGATTTTTCGTAATGGTAAAACAGAAACAGAGATATTTGCTGGGGACCGCAAGGGAGCTGCATGAACAGAAAACGTAAATCAATCTCATTCAATAGGGAAGGGAAGCAAGTTGTTACTGTGCCTGCCCTGAAACGTTTTGTTCTCAACACTCTGTCTGCATCCCTCTCCTCTGAGATGCTCTTCTCTCCCTCCCTCTCTCTTCCTTTTTCAAATTTTCTGCAAAGCTATTTTCTCAATAAAATTGTAAAAAGTGCCTAAAATAAAAACAAAAAGCACCCGTTTCTCTCTCCCTTTTTTCCGTTCCCCTCTCTCTTCCTACTATAAAACCCCCTCCTTACCTTCTAAAACCCCACATTTACACTCTTCAATCTCTCCCTCTCTCTTCCGCCCTCCCTCCCCGTTACTTCCTCCATGGATGTCCTCAATTTTCTCAAATTTTGGAGGCGTGAGGCCATGCCAGCAACCTCCACCTCTGACCCTCGTTTAGGTGTGGAACCAGATGATGGGTCTGAAGAAGATGACTCCTTCTTCGATTTGGAGTTTACTGTTTGCGCACATGATAACAGCATCAGCAAAATCAACCTCAACCCAGAGGACAAGATACGAGAAGGGAAAGAGTTTGAATCTGGTAATGATCAAGTTTCGAGGAAACTCATGTCTCTCCCGCCTAACGAGTCTATCTCCAAGAGAAAAATCCTCCCAATCGAGCCTGTTTCTAAGCCTCAATCTCCCATTGCCCTCCTCAAGTCTGCTCCCAGCTTCAGAATCCTCATGTTCAAGAAGAACAAGGAAATGTCGGCTAGCAAAACAGAGGAAATGGAGGATTCCCCGTTTTCTCCTTCGCTTAGCAGAAGTGCTAGTACCTCGAGAAGCCATGGAAGCAGATCGGAGAGGTTCTCAAAGGAGGTATTGAACAAGTACCTGAAGCTGATAAAGCCCCTGTATGTGAAGATTTCAGGTAGGAACGGCGAGAAGGTGAAGCTCTCTGGGGATATATTCTCTGCTTCAACTACGTCGTCTCCTTCCGTCGCCTCTGTTTCTTTGAAAAGAGAGAAACAGCGGAATATTCCCACAGGGATTCGGGGTGCGTCTAAGCATCTGGGGAAGAGCAAATCGGCGTCCACGATCACCGGGATCGGGTCTCCGGCGAGAAAGAGCGATGATACACTGCAGCTGCAATACGATGGGATTCAGAGCGCCATTCTTCACTGCAAGAGATCGTTCAACTCCAGAGGTGAAAACTCAAAACTTGTTTTGTAACTTCTTCATTTAGTATCATTTATGTCTTCAATCGTTCAAATCAAGCATCATCAAACTTGTCTGATTCTCAGTCCAAAAAAAAAAACTTGTCTGATTCTACTTGTCTGATTCTACATTGGCTTGTTATCAGACTATGCTTCCACCATCACCCAGTCTGAAGAGAAATCAACTTGCTCAAGGAGGAATGAGAGAAGCGTCCAGTGGTCTGATTTTCTCGAGAAAAATCACGAGAAGCAGAGAGAAAATAAGGGGCCGTAACTTTTTTTTTGCTTTGTAAAGAAAAGGAAATGAGATAGAATAGGCTGTGATGTTGTTGTTTAGGGACGATTATTAGTGTTTATAGGCTACCCTGCTGGTCAGTGTAAACTTGATTGATGGGTCATATAATGAAATTGAAAGCTTGCTTCTGATTCTTCTCATCATTTTCTTTTCCTCTGCGGAAGGCTTTTTTTTTTTTTCCCCTCCAGTATTTGATTAGATAGATAGCGATCTTAAAGAACATACGCATTGTTTGTCCCTGGTTTATTGATTTGACTGTAAAATCGGGTTCTCAGTGCTTCAAGTAATTCAACTTTCCATTCCAGGGCCAAAAAAATTTTAAAAAACAGAGAGAGAGAGAGAGAGAGAGAGAGAGATTTTTCCAGGAAATTTTGCTCCTTTGGTAGATGTGATTTGAAAGAGGAAAAGGGCCAAAAAAGCTAGCTCAATCCTTTGGAGGAAAGGAAAAAAAAAAAAGGAAATTGTTTTCTGCTTTATACCCCACTTTTATAACAACCTTGGCAAACATGATTAATTGAGTTTAAAGGTTTTTCTTTTTTGATAAAAAATCATATGAATTTTTTTTCCCTAAAAAATATAAATTAACTTTAGATTTATGAAGGAGGTGGAAGTTACTTGCCGGTGCATTTAATGATGAAATTAGACTTCGCACGTAGAAAAGAAAACTAGCAAAGGATAAAACTTAAAAGCAGGGGATCTGCTTCTGATCTCGCCATTCATAGTGCGGCAGAGATTATCCTAGGCATTTCAGAACTTGTTCTAACTAACGGATTTAAGTTGAATCTTAAATTATTTTAATGATGTTGTTGGATGCGTAACATGCTTCACCGGTTTATTATTACAAAACATAGTTTTGAATTTTATATTTTAATTTATAAGATATTTTATGAACTGTTAACTTAAGATTAATTAATTAATTGTGAAAATAATCATATCAAATGAAAAAAATTTACTTGATTCTCATTTTTTTCCAATTAAAAAACATACATTAATGGTCTGATGTTATAAGGTGAAATCAAACCCATCACCTTTCATTGCAAAAAAAAAAAAAATTAACACCACTGAACTATGAGGTTATTAGCTATTTGATCCTCATTAGTTTAATTTATTGCCCATTAATTAGCATATTTGAAAAGATTAAATGTTTTAAGAACAATAACTAATTGCATTAGTTGTTGATAAAAAAATTGCATTAGTTTGCATGAGTTAGTTAAACAACATCCAAAAATAAAAAAATTGCATTAGTTGGCATGAAATTTTTCTTTCTTATAAGAAATCGTGGGTTTTATTTAAATATGTTCATTGTCAGGATGGATGGTAGCACTCATCTCGCATTAAAAAAATTATACATTTTTCTTGTTTTACCCCCCCTCCTCCAAACAAAAAGAAAAATCATCACAAAGCATTTTAAAATGATCATTATGTCAAGTTTCAAAAGTCACTCAGCAGATTACGAAACTTGAGTGTACAATCCCTCCTTCACGTATAGTACTGAGGTGCTGTCTAATGTTTACATCCTAATTGATTATTATATTAAAGCAGCCGATTTATTTGTTACTTAAAACATGCCTTATCTTCTACTAATGAATAACTCATTAGAAAGGCTAATAAATGATGAACCTAAGGATCAATATCAAACTGGAAGCGAATTATTTTGTTATATACATACAAATCTCTCACGTCACATATATATGTGTGTGTATTATCCTATCAGAATTGAGTATATGTGTTGTTAAGACTAACCCAAAAAAAGAAAAAAAAGCCAGAGTGTGATACTGATAATGAATGTGTAGAAATGAATGGGAAAATTCAAAATAAGATAGAACAGAGAAGGGACATGATGGTGGTTGGATGATTGTGAGACTTTGAAGTTTGAAAAATGGGGAGATCAGAGCTGGTAAGAGAAAAGGACCTCTGTTTTGTCCGTGAGGAGGGAGAGTCCAAAGTTCAAACTCTAATTGGACACACATTTGCAGATACCAACAATACTCCAACTTCTTCATCATCATAATACTCATCCTCACAAAATCTATCCACATTGCTTTTTCTCAATTTTTATCTGAAACTACCCATAAGTGTATAGAATGGGTTAATCCCTCACAATATGACGAACTAAGGTTCGAATCCCTACTAGAAGAGGTGTCCACATTTAGAGCCTGACAGTATCTCAAATATGATTGTCTCTAATAAAAAGATATCTATGCTTTAGGAGAAAAAATTTTATTTGAAACTTGTGAAACTATATTGACTGTGCACACTGGGCACAACACATCAGTTTTAGTGCAGGCTTCACGCTCACAAGGCTTTGTGGTCCTCCCTTTGCTCCAACTACATTACTTGAACCAAAATATACGCTGTTCTTTTTTTATCATCTCACCAGAAATCAATATGCTCTTTCGGCCAATTAATACATATTCAAGAAATTATGTCTAAATTAACAAACATTTCCCCAATTCTCTCTATCTAGTTATCTTTTGAATAGAATTAGTTTAGTTCTTCGTGCCCAACATACAGTTTACTTCACTTTCCATTAGAGAAGAATCAGATTCGATGGACAATCGGAAAAATATTTAAAAATGTCCTATATTATATATATATATATAAATAAATCGGAATAATTAATAATTGAGAGTGCACAAACAAGGTTACATGTTTGTGGCGTTGGTTCTCTTGAAAGTTTGAGAGGGAAAGTGCAATGCACCACAGAAGACAATGCATAAATACCGACCCAATACTTTGCTCCTACTTTGTAGGAAGAGGTTTACTGGCATCAAATGATTTTATTATATACTACCTCTGATTCTTAATATAAGATTTAGTTTAACATTTAACTTGATCATAAATGTAAGATTTCAATTCATTTTGTCTCTTATACCTATCATTTGTTTCAAAATAATCCTTGTAATAGTTGCACATATTAAATGTTTTGCTAAATGGTAATTCTAACTAATACACATGATCAGTAAAGACACCTAGAAAAGATAACACTTATTTATTGTAAATAACTAACTTAAATTTTTTTTAATTTACTTAAATTAATCAACTAGCTATTATATTAAAGACGGGATAATATTATTTTTTGGACAGTATAACTCAGCTAATAGGAGATTGTATTACTTTAACCAAGATTCTTGAGCTTGAGCTGCTTTTTTTTTTTTGGTAATAAAGGGACAACTTCTAACAAGATAAGATTATAGACAAGATCGAGCTTGTAACCTCTCACTTATAAAGGAATTTCATACCACTAAGTCATCAAGTCAGTAGCTTGGAGTTTGAGCCCTAATTAAGTATGCGACTGATGCGCTAAAAATACTTATTCAGAGAACTAGTTCTTTCTGACGATCAGTTTAAATCTAATAATGCAGCTTCTAGACATTGAGTGGCCGGGGTGTGTCTATATAATAGAGTGTGTGTGTGTGTAGTTAATTTAAAAAATATTATAAGTATTGCAAATAAAAAATAGTTATTATTATTGATATGGTATATATTTTTATGTAAGGAATTATATGAATGCAATAATATTCATGTCGTTTTTATGTGGTGAACGAAATAAAAATGTTTGACTCGAGACAAAAACAAAAGACACTCCTGACTGTAAGGAACAATACCGAAGAGACAAGGACCAAACACCATTTTCTCCTGCGGGAATGGTAGATTTGCTGTGTTTCTTTTTGATCATTGATTATTATCTTTGTGTGAAATTATGAATGGTTACGTTGGAGCTATTTCCATGAATGAAGGAAATATAGTCACGTGAGTTCATTTTCCGGTGTTTGCTTTTTGTTGTTTGGTTTGGGATGATATTGATAACATATTGTGAGGAGGAAGCATTATGATTGGAATTTGAATCTCATTCTGTGTTTCAGTTCATTGTATCTTTTTGTTGTTTTCATTTCCCAGAGTTTTTATAAGGCCACATAATAGCTACCTACCGAACTACACAAAAATATTCCATTTCTCATCATTCACACCATCCTCCTCTTTCTTCCTTCTCGGGATGTGGTATGGATTTTTCAATTATCTGTTTGGTTAGATAAAATTTAATAACCGTTGGCAAAAAAAAAAAAAAAGAAGATAAAATCTAATAACCTCACTTGTCTGTTTTTTTTAAAAAAAAAAAAATTTGAACACATTAAAATCTCTAAACAGGGGGTTAGTTATTGATTTTTGAGATTAAGGTTCAAAGTTCTGCATAAATTGTTCAAGAAATGAGAGAAAATTATTAGGAATCCTCATAAACTAGTCTTTAAATTTTTTTTTTTTCATTTACAACAAATATATCTCCAAAATTGAAAAAGTCCATCTGTCCTATTATGAGAATAAATAAACATGTGCATAAAAATGTCAATGATGATGAAAATAATTATACTACTTTTGGTTTTTATTATAAGACCTCATTCCTAGTCTATAAATAAGGTCTTACAATTAAAACCAAAGGTAGTATTTGATATCTTATAGACCGTGACAGCCATTCCAATGTTATTTTTTATTTGGTTAAATGAAAATAATGTAACATACTAGTACCAGAAATGAAAGATAATCAAAAATCTCAAAGACAGGAAAACATTTATTAAAAATAGTTCTACTTATTGAACCTTGTGATTTGTTTTTCAAATTATCAATAATAAAAAATGATTTTGTCAACAATAATACTACCTCCAGTTCTTAATATAAGACCCTATTTGACTTTTATTTTGGTCCTAAATATAAGATGCTAATCCACTTTGTCTCTTATATTTATACTTTTTTTTTTCAAAAATAGTCCTTCTAACAATAATAGTTCTAGTTAATACACTTGATTAGTAAGGATATTTTAGGAAAGACAGCACCTATTTAGGACAAATAACTAACTCAACTTACTTCTTTAATCTCCTCAAATTAGTTAACTGGCTCTTATAATTAGGACCGGAGGTAGTACTATCTAATTAGCAGAAAAAATTGAACTTTGTTATTTTGCTTGCGGGGAATAATATTATTAACGGAGTAGAACTGTAAGTGAACATACACGCAGACTCTCCTCCACATAAATCATCCGCATGTTAGAATTGCCTTTCCCCCGACGGTCCAACAGGCAGGATGAAAAAGGCATAACTGTGATTAATTTAAAAAAAAATAAAATAATTATATATTAATTTTTAAAAATTATTTTAGAAAGCCATATTAGAACACGATAAAAAGAAAAATGATGAAAATATTAAGATATTACAAACATGTCATGCTGAAACATTAAATTATTTTAATGATCATGATCAAATATTAAAATCACCAACCATCCACAATAAATTTTAGTTTTCACAAAATCTCTCCACACAATAAATCATTTTTTTATAAAGTTTATAACCTAATTAAAAATTTACTTATTTTTAACATTTAAATAAATAAGCCATAAATCTTTCTTCTACAGCGAGGAAAAAGATCCGTATCAGCCTGATTGAATAGATCACCTCTCGAGTTGGCCTTGAAAAACAAAAAAAGGAAAAAGAAAATTGCACATCTCAAATTTGAAATTTCCTAGTACGGTCACTCGCCAAAAAATCATACCAATAATTACATAAAATTTATGATACCCAAAGCTCCTTACAAAATACTCCCTCCGTTCCTTATTATAAGAAACACTTGATGCTTATGTCATGTTCCTATATATAAGAGACACTTACAAGTTGTCTCTACTTTTTTATGTTGATTTACTATTTTACCTATATTTATTATCTCCAACTCACACTCTCTCCCTCCCACTTCTCTTTCTTTTAATAATTTAATTGTTCTCTCTCATGCTCTCTCTCCTTATTATGAGGGCATTTTTAGAAAAAAATTATACTTTTTATACATTAATTGTTTTTAACTAACTTTAACTGTTTTTTTGATCAACGCATTTCGGTTATTTGTCTCTTATAATAAGGAACGGAGGGAGTAATTTAGAAGCAAACATGCCCTTTAAACCTTCGAAGAAAAAAACGATGAGTGATTCTCGAAATTAGCCATGTCACGCTAAGGACATATTTACCCTTGACGACCCAGGGGCAAAAGTGACTAAACAGATGGGCAGGGATACTCCGGTTAAGCAAACGAGAAATTAGTTCAGATGATGCTGCATTACATTCACAGAACAAAAGGGAAAAAAAAAAAGACTGATCTGGTTCCCATAAATATACCAAATGACCAAAACAAAAAACGAAATTAAAAAGCAGTTGAGGTTCTTTTTGCACACCTAGTTATCTGACAAAAACAAAGCATCCAGAGCATAATTTCACACCATAAAGAATATGCATAAAATCCATAATAAGACAACTGATTATGATTAATATTCCCATTTTTTCAGCTCCATGCCATCAGGGGGACTTCCCTCTACCTTCTTTGATCCCACTTCTTTCCAGTTTGTAGACAGTACCGTTCCATTAGATTCCACCTGAAAGACATTTGAGCAGACGTTAAATAAAGACAGCCGTAACCAAAAACGGCAAATTTGTAGCCGCCAGGTTTGTGGCTAACAGTAGGAAGGATACAAGGCACATTCACCAGACTATAATATATTAGACATTATAACTTACAAATGACTTCCTCATTGCTCTTCTTGTGTCCTCATCTGCATCTTGATATATTTCACGGAAAAATTTGTTCAGCGCCGCATCACCATCAAGCTTTTCTTCTTTCTCCTGATGTGAACAAGAAATAATGAATGTGATGACCCAGGAGCTCAAAGTGCGACATAAATACAGAAAACATTTTAAACAGCAGCACACAAACCTCTTTCTTAACCTGAGCTTCCAGTTTATCCCAATCTACTCTTGTTGGTTTTGAGGATGGGTACGTGGGTCTTGGACCTGCATAAATCATCCAAGGTGTTAGCAGATATTAATAATCGAAGTCCAGCAGAAATACGAGGCCCCCAATTAGATAATCCTTGAAAAGATTTGTAGGTGCCGAAAAGCTGGAAGAATGCTATCTGATGGATTTTGTAAGCTGCTCTGATGCATTTGATTACATCACATTACCAGGAATCGTAATTTACCTGAGGGAGCAGTAACCTTTCTTTGAACTGTAATTTGCCCAGTGAATTCAAGAGAAGTCCAATGTAAAGGTTCTGCTTTAGCAAGGCGAATTTCAATTTTGGTAGACAATACCTCATATCTGCTTCTTGCAGGTGTAATCTGAATCCAGAAAACAAGTATTAAAATGATTTGCAGGCTTCCAGACATAACTTATATTACACACATGAGATGCGAAGCCTATTTGCCAACAAGACAATCTTGAAGCCAATTTATTTTACAAAGAAATACGGAGGTTACAGATTAAATGAATTTTTTTTTTTTCCATACACAGAGAGAAGCTCCCTTTGATACCTTTCCAAATAAGCGGGGTTGAAAAGTATATCCATCTTCACCAGGAACATCAATACGAACACTTAGCTGAAAAAATATAAAGAAGCAAATTAGGAACGCAGCAATCAACATTATCAACAGGATGTAACCAAATGAAGCATCAACTAAATCTTCAATGTCAGACATACTATTTGTTCACCAAAGTCAACAGTAACACTATCCCGAGGGATTCCCTTGGCAAATATGGTTACAACAACCTCATCGGGCTTCTGGTAGAATTCATGCCTGCACAAATATTGATTACCAGAAATCAACCTTATGTCTGTGGACTAGTAGTTTCTTTTGATGGGTCCAATGCAGATATCTTAAAATCATAAAAAATGAGTACTAATTATGCAAGGAGTATTGAAGACAGGAAAGTTGAAATAACTTCTTTGACATATAACAAGTTATTTATCAAAACGTAGAAAATCCTGATTAGGAACCATATCTGAAAACTCACCAAAACAAGAAGGTATTTGGTACATGGATGGTTAACATCACAGGTATATTATACATTAATAATATATCATCAATAAGATACCAGAGTACATGAGATTATCACAAGAAAAACAACGACAAATTATCAAAGAAGCAATCAAACGATGCAAATTGCATGAACCAACAAAAGTCAAAATTTGAGAATGTGAAGTCCTTATGCTTTCTAAAAAGTACGAAATGCTATAAAATATGTTCTGCCAGTTTTCAAGAGCTTTCAGCAATCCAGCAAGTTATATGCTAACACCCAATTCAAGCCCACCACAAGTCATGAGAAGCAAAAGTCAGCTTGAAGACTCTCAGATCAGCCACAACTCTGTCCGTGTGCACATACACTCTATCTCTACTCTGTTTTCATGGCGTATTCATTTACAGCATCATCATTTTGTGATTCAACAATATAGATATCTCCTTTCAAATGTTAAATATTGGAGCTCAGAGAATTTCATTATATTGGTGTCGGGTGGACAATAGGCATTCCTTGGCATACTATGATTTGGTAAAAGATAATGTTTACCTGCTCCATACGATTAGCCTAAAGTTCCAAATTTGAAAGCATTGCTAAAGACATTTCAGATGCTGATCTCAATCATAAACATGAAACATCAAAAAGATCCAAATTTGAAAGCATTGCGAAAGACATTTCAGATGCTGATCTCAATCATAAACATGAAACATCAAACATCAAACTCAGGTATCTAAGATAGACAAGTTTCCTAGATGCTAGAATGGTGAATACATTGTAAGAAATACCGCCAACAGTAACAAAAGATGCATAACAGAAAATAGGACAACATTTCGCACATAAAATAAGCTCATAACAGAGCAAAACACCAACAATACACGTATAAATAGAACACTAACCTGTACTTAGGCTTAGCTGCTGGTTCTGCCACCTGCTTTGAAAGGTCATTCTCCGGATTTAACGCAAGGTCGTTCTCTGGCTTTACATTTTTTGAAGCAGCATCAGAAATGGGGCTCTTTTCCTGTATAGTTATGGTGCTACTTTCCTCTGTTCAACATAACATGTCCATTGGTTACGTCAGTTTACCAGCCAAATATCATATATTTCCACATTGTCCCTCAGAACAGTCAACATATAATCATGACATTTCATTTAACTTAAATGCAATCTGAAACACCAACACAGAAGAAAAGAAAGCTTTACCGCAAGGAAAGAGCTTTACCATTTTAAAAGCTTAGGTTTACCTGCAATAAGATCATCACACTCTTTGATCAAAGTAATGAATCTTGAATCTCCCTGATCCAGTGAAGCACCTTTCATCAGAGCTGCCTTTGCGGTCTGATATTCCTCAAGCTTCATGCACGCAGTACTGAAACCAAAATAGCACATGAAAGATAGAAAATCTGGAAAGTATGGCCAATATATCCTTGCTGAAAATATTCAAACTTCACATAATATAGCTCATCATGTTATTGTTATAAGTTAAAAAAGTATGCCATGTCAGCAATCATATCTCAGAATACGAATTAAACATGAACTATCACTTTATAATTCCTATTATTGTTGGAAAAGGATTATAGGAATAGAATGGGCAGCATCACAGGTCAATATATCAGTGGTGGTGACAACTGTGGTCAAAAGGTGGAATTCACATCAGCAACATATACGTAACAAACTAGCAGCTAGCAGACTGAATTGACACTTAAAATATACAATGTATTAAGGGAATGCAACATACCAGCAAAGAGATAATGCATTGCTGAAGCAATCAAGAAATAATAAAGATCCCAAGATACAAGCTGACTGTTTATGCAACTAAAATGCATGTCAGAATGTGTACTTTTTCTTTTTCAGTACAAAAGTTTCTAACTTGAGACCTTTCACCCAAGCCCAGACAACCTCAACTAGCCTTAGTTGGTCCGGGTTCACTGCAAATAGAAACAAGGAAGGATAATAAGACAAAGTAGCATTGCACATACCCTTTGCGCAAATATGCTTTTGCTAGTTCCGGATTCAAGTCAATTGCCTTGTTTGCGTCAGCAACAGCTTCTGCTCAAAGCATTTACAATTAGTTGCGATAATTCATAAATCACATCCAAAGCCAAGGATACAATAAAGAAAAGAGCTTGTATATACAAACGCAACCAACAGGCAAAACCAACGTACAACAGATGAATGAGGTCCATAGACATACGTGCGAGGTGGAATAGAGTAACCAAAGAGACTGAAGTTACAAAGGATAGACGAAGAGAGAGAATCAAACTTGGCACCCACAACATAACAACTTGTCTGGGAAAATACATAATCATAACTGATAACCAGATAGCTCAAAAAAATTTTCTATCTCAACTAAAAGAAAACAGAATACACATAACATGTGCGTCCACTGAAGAGATTTCCTACCAAAAAAAAATATTCCATCTTGATTATTCTTGCTCATAATCAGACTTTCTAGAACATCAAAGCCATCAACCGTAATTCGAATTCCTATCAAAAGTTGATTGCTCGAGCAAAACCCAAAAATATAAAAGGAAATTTAAAAAACATGAGGATCCAAAAGATTTACCCATTATGAAATTATCAACATCACTGGCAATTTCTCAAAACCAGGCAAGGGACTAGGTAAAGTGAGAAGCGTACCAGTGTAGTTGCTGAGTTTGATGTTAGCCTGGGCACGGTCGGCATAAAGCTCGGCGCTAGGGCTGAGGGCGATGGCCTCAGTGAGGAGGTCCGCGGCCAGCTCGTAGTGGTCATCGACGAAAGCCTCTTTGGCTTTAGCTTCGAGATCGGAAGCCATGGGAAGGCAAGCGTCGCCGGAGAAGGATGGAAGAGTCTAGAAGGGGAAATAGAGAGAGAGACTGAGATAATTGAGTAGAATACGATTGACCTGAGAGGTTAATATGGAATCCAGTTGTATCGCCAAGGGGAGATGAACTTCCAGGAACAGAGAAAACTTAAAAATAAATAAATAAATAAAATACTAAAGCTAAAAATATAGATGAATTTCTGGGTTGTTTCTTTTTTTTTGAATTTCTGGGTTGTTTCTTTTTTTTTTTGAATTTCTGGGTTGTTTCTTTTTTTTAAAAAAAAAAAAGAAAAAGAAACAACCCAGAAATTCCCCTTTTCAGTTATGGCCTTTGACGCGTAAAATATCGAAGTCCGTAATGCAATGGAGCGCCGAAGACAAACAATGAAACAATTAATTAAAAATAAAATAAAACTGGTAACAAAGTTCAATTTGCCTATTAAGATCAAGGTAAAAAAAAAAAAAATTGCCTACTAAGAAATTTAAAAAGTTCCACCTGCCTAAAGTTATTAAATGTTCAATGACAGTTTTACACTATAAGTAGGATAGAATGTCATTTTTGCTATCCCTCACAGCACTTAGAAAGGATTAAGTGAAATAATAAATATAAGTCTCATATCACATGAAATCTTAATGTTCATAGGATTTAAATATCTTTTAGGTATTTTTTATTTACGAGCTAGCTTTTGGATTGAATCCAAAGACTCAATATGATATGAGAACTTTAGTTGCGAGGAAGGGTAAAGAGCAGTGTGATGAATGATGAATCCCACAAAGTCCTTATGTCCAAAGAGTCTAGATATCCTTTCCTACCTCATACTCACGAGCTAATTTTTTAAGTGGGTTAAAGTTTTTTAATTGGAAAAAAAACTTTAGGTACTCTATTTGTTGCTCTTTGAATAATAACAATATTAAAAAAAAGGTACCCAATCTTAGCAATGATACAATACTTAAACTTTAAATTAATGATAGCGGCTAATTCGGTTATCACAAAAAAAAAAATCCATCCAAATACAATAAAATAACAGTGCAAATGATACCCAAATTGTTGGCAAAGAAAAAGAGAGGCAAATAAGGTGCTTGTTTATTCACTTTTTATTCAGTAAATGGAATTATAAAATATGTTTAAAGGGAATCACTTATGATCTATCAATATCCAATATTTTTTTTTTTTGGCCAAAATCAATATCCAATATTGTCACCTTAAAAGTTTGGGAAAAAATAATATTTATTGTTTTAAGTAGCACGTAGTATAAGACATTTATTTTAAGTGATAATTTTTCTAATTGTTGAAGATAATCTAAATTGATCTAAAGTTTCTCTTTTATTTTTTTTTCCATCGATTTATATTTGTCCAAACGGATGCTGAGTCGTTCGTGTGAGATGGTAAATTAAAGTATGAAAAACGACAATTAAATGAGATTTTGAATTAATCTTTTGATGCGCTCAAAGAAGCTAATCATTAATCGAATGGTGGTTTAAAGAAATCGGTCAAAGTTTGACCAAACAGAATGTATAATATTTCTGTTTTGGTCCTTTTTGCAATCGTATGACATAGGCCTTTATCGAAGAAGGAAAAAGAATAAGAAGCAAAGTTGCCTGACAAAAATAAAACGATTTTCCAAGTGAAGTCATTTATGATCCCAAATAACCATGTAATCACCAAGGAAATTTTTACTTAATAGGTCCAATTGCCAGAATCAGAGCAATCATTAAGAAAAAAGCAGATTATTAAAAGTGTCAGTGTGTATGATCTTTTTTTTTTAAAAAAAAAAATTTTATGTCTTAAAAGACCCTGCCTTTTTCTTCCAATTATATCTTGGGGATTTTAAGTTTTTAACTCTGATCATAATATTATCTACATCTCATCCTATCTTAAATTTAGTTATGCATCATCAATGCGCACGTGTGTTTGGTCCTGGAAAAGAACCTTAATGTCCTTCCTTCCTTTGATCGCAAGGCTCATATATCAATTATTGCAGGTCGAAGACAACACAAGAAAAGAATTTAATGGCAAAGAAAAGATACTGAGAGATGCTGTAGCCACAAATCTAAAGCTATCAAATAGTGCATCATTTGTTTCAATTTTTCCCTTCTTATAGACCGTCCCAAAAAGTTTCTCAGAATCAAAATTTCTTATTATATCCAAATAGTATTGTATTATCTCTCATTTTAACTACCTAAGAACTCTTTCTTATCTTAACAAAGTAAAAGATTTCAAATAAATGAATAAAAAGATGAGTATCATGAATTTAAAGCGTGGCATGAAGTTGGAAGTTGGAATCCTGTCACGACCAAGCAAAAGATCCAGATGTTTTCTTGTCTTAACACATGCCCAAATTGGGATGACTGTGTTCTTCATTTTGCTGCTTCCCTTTCCGTTCACTCTTTTCCGGTACGACTGTGAGGATCCTTTACTTCATCCCGCTTTTGGCAATTAGTTGGCAAGTCTTTTCCTTTTTCTTTTTTGTCTCCATTGCTTATCTCTTGTTCTAATCTCTACCATCATGCAACATAACTGAGCAAATGAAGACACATTAAAGGCCAAAAAAAAAAAAAAAGGTCAATTTATTAAGTTCTCCAGACATCAGGATCTTGTCCACAATGACAAGGGGGAGTATGAGTATAGACCAAAGTTATGGATAGAGCTACATGCTAATCGCGCCCATATGAAACAAAGTAAAGAGACAAGGAATTTTCTTGTGATTTCCTTTTGATCAAGTTAATCGACAGACCAAAGAACTGCTTAGCATATAGCTGTGCATGCCTTTGAGGTTGATTCACCTTAGCTGACCGCAGGAGTATCCCTTTTGGGTTGAGATGAAGCAGCCTCTAGCGTCTTGAAAAATTCTTCAGGGAGAGGAGGAGGTCGATGGTAAGGAATATGCTTAGGAATTGACGCATCATTCTCAACAACTTCACATTCATAATCATCTGGGACACCCCATGGATTCCACTCTGCATTCAACATAAAGCATGAGCACAGACACACACACACACACACTAAATCCCACGTTTTACATTTTTCCTAAAAGTGGATTCACATTATTCCAATAGAGAAAGCCAGAATCGCACCAATTCATCAAAGTAAAGATCTTAACAATGCAAGAAATATAATGGCCAGAATGATTTTATTTTAATAATCAAAGACATTATTTTAGGATAAATGATGTCCACCAAATTGTCTAGTAACTCATCTTTACATACGATTACGTTATGCCCCATATTATAGTTACAGGCATGGGCTGAGGTTAAATGGAGTTTCTGCATGGTCGTATTAATTGGGAGAGGTGAGAGCCTTGGAGAGGGCTGAGATGAGAAACAGGGAAGGGAATGAACTAAGGCAGCTACTGTAACGGTCAGAGAGGATTTTTTGAAGAAGCTTCAGCTGGGAGGTTGCTGGCTCTTCAATTGCCAGGCAAGTCTTCTGTATTTTCTCCAATTTTCATCTACTGCCATCTGTTAGTTCTGGTATGCGAGGTTGAATTGTTGGGAATTAGCAACTCACCCAACAGATAACCAAGAAATGCCAACGATACACTAAAGCATGACCTGCACCATTTGTTTTTATCAGTCGCCTATATATATCACATATTCTTCTCAGACTAAAAGTATAAATAAGAAATAGAGCAAAATCTTCGGAAAAATATTTCATCTTATTTCACATTGACACTTGAGGATGTCTTTCCCCCTGATAAGATTATTGGAATTCAAGACTTTCGATCAGAGCTTTATTTGGCACATATCATACCTAGTACATGGTGCAAGAACAAGAGTGCATCCCGTGTTATGGAATTCTCACCAACCAAATAATTATTATACAGATAACAGGGCAGCAAAATTAGCTGAGTTGTCCATGTTGAGTAAAATTTTCCATAATTTCCCTTCCTCACCAAAAATAATTTTCTTGCCAACATCCATCAACAACGATCATCATCATCAATCCCAATAGCACAAACAAAAGGGACATATCAGCATTCAGTACCGATCATTTTGCCAATGAGTGTGAGCTCATCCTGAGCCTCTTCGATGAGCTCCTCAGCCTGGCCACAGCCAAGGCGCTTCTCGATCATCTCCCAATCCTCCTCTTCCTCGCAAACTTTGAGCCTCTGCCTTCTGAAGCTCTCCACGGCCTTACGGTAGCCTTCATCCTCAGGGACGGCCTGGACCTCCTTCAGGGTTTTAGTGCAGAGGCCGACCAGAACCTCTCGCGCGTTCGGCACCACATCCAGGCCCACAATCCCTGTCGTCTCCTTCACTTTGGCCATCAATGGCTGTGCAACTGCGTGCAGGAACATTTTTCAGAGTCTAATTTGTGTCGTACTGGATCACCGTGTCATCGGTTTGGCCCTGCATCGACATTTGCCGTCTCACGTTCTCCGGGAGCGCGACGGGTGACGGTCCGACCCGAATGAAAAATGGCAAACTGGGTCGGGTAGGATTCTTTCTTTTTCGGCCAAAGTCGGGTAAGGATTCTGGGATCAGGTTTCTTAGCAATTTTCCCCCTTGTTACATTACTTGCAATTTTTGTGAATGTATCCCTAAATTATTGGGTAAATTTTGGAAATTTGTGATGCATACGATAAAATTAGTGAATTAGCCTATAATGCATGAGAGAGTTAAATATTAATTTTCTAAATTAATTTTGGATACTTTAGTAAATTACATTATTAATTTTCTAAATTAACATTGGATACTTTAGTAAATTACATTTGGATAATTTGTATTTAATACTGTTTATTTTTACTTTTTTAATTTGTCGTTTTAATAGTCATACAATCTGATTGAAATGATGTGAAATTTTGGATTATTTTTTTTAAAGAAATTAAATTTAAACGTGCAAATAAATCTATAACTAAACAATAATAATTATAAATATTTTTGTGAAATCTATTTATATATAATATAAAAAATATAGAAAATACTCTAATTATATTGCAACTTATATATCTTAGATTTCATGATCTTCACGTAGTTTATTCATATATAATAACTTATAAACCCGACCTCTCCAATAGGAAGAAAAATTCTCCCTACCCTGTATCAAAACAAAGCAATGAATGTTCAATGTTTAAGCTCACCTGGTTAGAGTAACACGCATGCCAATAAGTTTGTGCTCAAAAGAATCAAGAAGGATAATTTTCACAATTATTATTACATATATCATGAATTAATTTGAAGCTCAAAGCAATATATCAAATAAACCACACAACAAGCACATATCGATATATTGAGTCCGAAGAACCAGCATCTGATTTTACAGTACACTTATTTATTTATTTTGCAAACTAAACTAGTAGAACATAAAAGGCTTGAACAATTATCGCAAACACTAGCTCGTTTAATTTTCTGTCACAAACATGCACAGCAAATGGATAAAACAAATGCCTTAATAGTTTATTCATCGGGTGACGATGGAAGAATCTTACAGGGCAACCTTGTGAAGCAGCTAGCTACCCCACGTAAAGGACTGCAATATCGATAGATCAAAAGTAGAAGTAATTTGTTAGTCAACAAAGTCAAAGTGTTGAGACATAGTGAACTAACGTAACACATAGTTCCAGAAAGGATATACATTTAAGTTTCAGCATATATAAATACCTATTTCTTGAATAGTTCTTCGCAAGAAAGCCCTTAACAATATCGATCGGTTTCCCTTGTGGTATAAGAAAAATGTAGCACTTATTTATCATCTGAAGAATCTTCAAAATATTCTTCGAAAATATATATAGTGCATTTACTTATTTTTAAGAGGCTAAAAACATTAGCTTTCTGTTTCTTCTCTGAACTGGGGAAAAAAAAAACTTTAGTTTTCGAAGTTTTTTCCCGTAAATAAAAACACATAAGTCCCTCCCAAAGACTGTATTTAATAATATATTATAACGAAATTATTAGTTCCCGTGCAGAAAAAAATACAAAATGATATATGAACACAAGAGAAATGGAAAACAAATACTAATTACGTACCTTCAAGTTGAACCTCTCCTCAGTTTGGCCACATTTATAGCGACGATCACATACACTTTGTCATGTATGCCGCTAATTAACCTAAAATAGGCATATCTGAAGGATTTGTTCAGAAATATTAGGCTGCAAATTCCCCAAAATCCTGTTACAAATCCGATGGACGAGCTGATAAAGAAACCTAGACCGAAAATTTGCTCATCTTCTTCAGAATTCTCATCATTTGGATGATCTTGTGTTGGGCTTGTGGGACATTTTGGAAGGGGAGCACCGCATAGATGAGCATTTCCCTCATAAGCAGAGGGATCAAAGCTTTGAAGTTGAGTGCCATGAGGAATTTCTCCTGACAAATTGTTGTGTGATAAATCCATCACACCAAGACGATCCACTTGTGAAAGTTCTGAAGGAATGTGTCCAGATAAGTGGTTCCTTGACAAATCAAGAAAGTCCAGCGACTTCAGTTGTCCAATGCTGGCAGGGATTTGTCCACTGAGCATGTTTCTTGAAATGTTTAAAGCAACCAATTCAACAAGATCCATCAGTTCACTTGGAATTTCTCCCGTTAACATGTTGCAAGTGAGGTCGATGGTTTTAACTAATCTCAATATACTTTGGTATTTGGACAACTTACCTTTCCATACCAGTGTTGCAGTGTCGTCCTCTGTGAAATGGAGTAAAGGGAGAAGACTATATTTATTGCCACGATAATGAGTATACTGTACTGTTGCATTAAACTTTGTTTGATTCTTCAAACCAGAAAGATGGTTGAGGCATTTTGGCAAACTTCCAGAAATATTATTCATCGAAAGGTCGAGGATTTGAAGTTGAGAGAGATTACAAATATTGAGTGGCAAGCTCCCAAAAAACATGTTGGACCTCAAAATGAGGACACTTAGCTTCTTAAGCCCATCTCCAATCCAGTGTGGTACTAATCCCGAAAAATCATTTCCGACAGCATCAAAAACCACTAGCTCCGTGCATTTATTCAGAGACAAAGGTATTTCACCTGAAAATTTATTGAATCCTAAATGTAAGGATTGTATATTTATCAATGAACCCATTGATGTTGGAATTTCTCCGTATAGGCTATTGTTTGCAACATCAAGAAGGGCTAATGATTCAAAATATTTCCAACAATCTGGAAGCACTCCTGATAGTTGATTGTTTGAGAGATCTAGGATCTCTAATTCCACGGTCTCATTCGGACATAAGAAAGTACTAGCATCTGTGAATTTATTATTAGATAGAAACAATGCCGAGGCTGTATGTGATAAATTTGATGGAATTGAGCCTTCAAACAAATTTGAGCTCAAATCCAGATCCCTAGTAAGAGAACTATGTCTGGGTTGAAAATTTTGTATTTCTCCAGTCATGTGGTTGTGTGAAAGGTTCATGCGCGAAAATGACAAATCCCAAAACCAACTTGGCATCATACCAGAAATTTCAGCGTTTGAAATATCTAATGACAAACTCCCCTTCTGGGTTCGAAGCCAATTTGGAAAGCCAGGGCCCAACTTACATGAACTTAAATTAATGTCGAATAACTGAAAACGGGGGATCCAATCAGGACTGATTTTAAATTCCAAGTCGTTAAGAGACATGTCCAAGTACCCTAGTTGAGAGAGTCTTGAGAAATGAGTTTCAGCTATGATACCGTGCAAGAAATTATTACTTATGTCTAAATCCTGCAGCTTTGACAATAATCCAATGCCATCATTTACAGTTCCGTTGAGTTGATTGCTAGAGAGATCTAATGCTTCCAAGAATGAGAACCGTGAGAAATTAGGTACCGACCCCGTAAACCGATTAAGAGATAAATCTAAGGTCTGTAGTGATATGCTGGCACAGTGGTCGAATGATGCAACAAAATCATCTAATTGTCCACTCAAGGAGTTGTTAGATAGATCTAACATTGTTAAGTTGCATAAAGCCAAGGATTTGGGTATGCCACCTTCAAGCTGGTTTTCCCCAAGGGAAAGTGTTTGCAAGCGGGGCAAATATCCCAAATTGAGAGGTATATTTCCTTTCAAATTTGTGAAGGAGAGATCAAGATATTGCAATCTCTTTAAAGAAAGAATGGCGTCTGGGAATTTAATTGCAGAGAAATTTTGGCCATCAAGGTACAAATAATTCAAATGATGCAATTCAGCCAACGACGGAGAAATTGTACCTTCCAAATGGCAGTTAGAAAGAACAAGTGCATCCACATGGCCCGTTCGGCTGTCACAGGAAACACCATCCCATGTGCAACAATCTGTGTGGTTCTCTGAACTTCCCCAGGAAGAGAGGGAGCCATATGGATCAATAAAGCCACGTTTGAGAGAAAGAAGGGAGAGTCGTTCCTTGACTTTGCACTTGACAGTAGTGTTGCCAACTGCGAGTGCCCCGCGAGAATAATGCACCAAAAGCACAAGGCAAGCAACAACAAACCTCATATCTACCATCCTTACGCTGTGGATATAAGGTTATGATGCAGTTTGCTATGCGAGAGAACAAGCACCACAAAGGCCATGTATTTATAGGCAAGATTTTGTTGTCTTCATGATAGTGTTGGAGGATATACAGACTCTCAATATAAATTCAAAATTATATAAAACAGGCTTTAAATTTTCTAAATCCGAGATCTTGAGTAAATAAACAGAGAGATTTGGATATATGAATGATTTGGAATTGTTTGCTACACCATATATATCATTTTAACTTAATAGTGATTAAAAACAGGGACAAAGTATTGGTTGCCAGCACGAGAATTGCCCTTTGTATTATTGCATAGTAAATTTCCACGCAGTTTCATTTTCTTCCATAGTGTTTTTATCCACCATGAGAGTGACACTTCATTCCAAAATTGAAGGAATAAGAATATATGGACTTTTATCTTTTGCCAAAGAATATATGACTTTGAAATATTGGAGGACACATGACTTCCAATATACAAGACGATGAATTTAAAATACTATATATATTGATATTGGAGAGTGCACTGATCCATTTTTACATTCCAGTTTTAAAAATAGCAAGGCTAAAGACTTTAAATTGTTAAAATTTGAACTTAAACGGACATTATAGTTCTATTTTTTTTAGAAAATATTAATTTTTTAAAATCTGTTGTGTGTTTTCTTTTTCTGGTAGTAACATTACTTTTTTTTTTTTACATGTAATAGCAAATTAAATTAGTCAAGATCCGAAGAAGAAAGCAGAGTTGTCGTCAGAGAGATTTCAAAGACTTCCAAAATGAAAGAGGCGTTCAAAATTTGATTTGGAAACTTGAGTTTCGAACTAAACTTTACATTTAGATTAAATTCTAATTCTAATATCTGACAAAATCGAAAATAAAGTTGACATTTTTCAGCGAGGCGAAAGACTCAAGCT